GGGATATCCATCCACCCACACTCGATAGGGGTGGATGGATATCCCTGGCACTGGGAAGAAAAATTGAGAAGAAAATTTTTTCGTGACTTCGGGTTCTCGGCATGCGAGGCCTCCATCCCCTGATGGATGTTCCTAGGAACGAGGAAGAACAGCCGACCGACCGACAGTCGCTATCGCACGCGACCGCATCCAAGAACGATCGCTTCTTCGCGTTCAGCATCAACTAGGAACCGTGAATGCCTTCTTTCCCTGATCCATCACGAATCTCGATAGGAGATGCCACCGATGAGCCATATGCTTAGGCATGCTTTCCCTTCCCCTCCCAAGTTTTTCCCAGCATCACTCAGCAAAAATTCCATTCAAGAAGAACTTTTTTTTTTCTTTTGTATATAATCATTTCCGAGACCCCCACAAATGCAGGCAGTTACCTTTCTGAGACGACCTTCACGCTTGGAAGACGAGAGGCATTCTCAAAGAGAAGCAGAGAAGAAAAAAAAAAAGAAGAGGCAAAAAATTTTTTCTCTCCCTCGCTCACTTCAGGAGATCAGAGGGATGACTGGCAGGGTCTGCTTCAGAGAGAGTGGGGACATTTCACCTGGGCAAAAAGAAAGGCTCTAGCTGTGAGGCCATTTGAAGCCGTGACTTGTCACCTTCCCATTGCCAGCTGTAATTACACCATTGTGCAGCGGAGGGAATCGCTTTTTTTCCACAATGGTATTGTCGTCGTCAGCTCTGTTGGCACAACACGACATAGAAGGCAAGAACCTGAGAAAAATTCCATTTTCGTCTCACTCACTCACCTCTCTGTCTGTCCCATGCCACCCACGAACCGATAACCTCAGGTCAAACAAAGAAACCCAAGCCCCTAACCGGCCCGAATGACTTCGACGACATAAATCTCGACGTGAAGAGACCTTCTTAACATCTAAATGGGGTTCTCATACCGAGTTTTAAATAGATAAGAAATCAAGTCATACATCCCCCAGTATATCATGGGGATTGGGGGTATCTCACCCCCTTGGGTCCTACCTGTGGAGTCAATTAAAGCAGGGAAGATGCTGTTATCAGAGTGAAGATAATGACGGACCCTTAATATACAACCATCATCCCCGCTGCAGTTTGATCGATAAAAATAATGGAGAAAACTTGCAAATGCCCGGAATCTGCCCAGGGCCTCTCTCCGAATGATAATTCGGAGTTCAACAGACCACCAAAGCACACGAAACTTCCTCGAACCGCGTGTCTTATCTCATAGCAGCCGAAATATTGGCTCAAGTTGGACCCAGCTGTTCGGGGTTTCCATTAATAGCGGGGTAGAGGCTTCTCGAGATTCCGGTGAGGAAGGCAAAAGGAAAGAGAGGAATCTGAGCCTTGTTCCTCCTCTCTACCCCTCTCCATGCCAGGACAATGCGATGGTGTGTCCACTTAGCATCATTACATTCTGCCCCAGGCATTGAATTCTCCCCGAGTGAAATCCGTTAAACGAACGACCTTCATGAACGACAATCAGGATGTACGTAATATTAATGAAGGGTTCCATGCCTTTGGGCGTTCCATCTTGATGATCAACCGTGGTTACCCACAAGAATACAATTCTCACACGCCATTCCATTCCGATTCTCCCCTCCCTCCATCATTCTCTTCCTCTCGTCTCGTCCTGGGATTGGTAATTTCCATCCAATGGCTCTCACATGCATAGCTCTGCTGTAGATACATTCCTGCCATGGTCGGACCCGAGCTAAGGACGTAGCACCTTGTGACGTCACTCTCGGCGTCTGCTCGCTCCTATCGTGCGAACGAAGTCCGAATTTTATCCCAGCACCTTGCATTGTTATCAGCGGGGGCCTTCCGTATCCCGGAAGCCCTTTATGGTGGGGCTATGGAAGAAATAGATAGGGGCCATTATTCTCGATTCATCCTATTCCCCCCGACGCCTCATTTTGAAATATCGGCCTAACATGTCGAATCCTCGCCACAGGAACCCGTCAAAACCAGATGATATATACCATCCTACCCGTTGATTCCCATGCAAAACCCGCGTTAACACCATGAAATATCGCCCACAGGCGAAATATCGCCTCCTACAAGCCAACTTCTCTCTCTCTCTCTCTCTCCTTATTTCCAGTACACCTTTCGCATGTGTTGACAGAGCTATTTGTCTTTGACTGTCTGACAGTTTTATTGCGTGTTTGCTATCAAACCGCTCGATCAGAAGGGACGGTGGGTCGTGAATGATGTCAAACTGTACATCAGGTGGTCAACATTTTCCTGGAATTTAAAGGGAGGCAAACATTGTCTCAGCTGATGGATGACTGAGGGACCCGAATCGGCATCCTTGACATTCCAGAACCCGCCCTAATGTGAGACCTCCTGCAGGATCCCCTCGAAAATGCATTTTTCCTCCCTCCCAAGTGGACTTTTTAAAACCTCGGGACCTCTTGGAACCGCAGAGAAAGGTGACTTGCACCTGTCTTCACAGGTGCCGTGAGAAAGTACGGAAGTAGGAGAGGTCTCGTTACGTCGAGAAGAAAAAAAAAAGAAAGATGTTTCAAGAGGAGGGGGATTCCATCCCACGGTAGCAGGTTTCCAACGCCTCCGAGATCTAGTTTCAACACCGACTTTCCCACGAATAACACCGGTTGATCAGAAGCGAATTTGCAAGGTTCACAGAGGTATCCTTTAGGGGGTGTAATAACACAAGAGAGGTGAACGACCAAGTTGGAGGACGCCAACGTGGACTGTCCCCCCCACCATGAATTCTTCCCCACATCATTAGTTTGATGGAAAGTTCGGACATGCTCGGGGCTCTGGCATGCGTGAAAGACGACCAACCTTTTTTTTTTCCCTCTCCCTCTCCTTGTCTATCGATTCTTACTCGGTAGATGTGGATAAGTCCGCATGATGTGCAATAAATGGAAATGAGGAGGAAGTCGGAGGAAGGAAAGTAAAGGGAGGAAAGGAAAGGGCCAGCTCCTCGTTTTGTTTGCCTTTCTCATTGGCTTCATGAGCTGGAAAAGAGGCAAGGGGTATATATACGGAATTGGCTTAGTGATCGAGCCTGGAAGGAGGGAAAAAAGAGCATGGGAGGGAAGAGGAGAGGGAAAAAAAGACGAACTCCTCTGGAATACATGAATGACGATGAGGTTCCCGTCTTTTCATTCCAGAAAAAAAAATCTAGAGCGGGTTGGACACAAGATGACTGGTCGGTAATGCGTCAAGGAAACTTCCCGAGAAAAGGAGAAAGACCGAAAAATGCTTCAATGTTGGGTGACAAGGAAAACATTCGCCCCAGTTCGCTTCAATGGACTTGGCAAATATGGGCGTTCAAACAAAGCACAGAGAGAGAGAGAGAGAGAGAGAGAGGACACGACTGGAACTGCATGGTAAAAAAAAGAAGAGAAAATATTTCGAATGCGGTCTTGAAAGGAAGACCTAATGGCTTTGATCGAACCCCTCTTACGTTTCGCTTCATCTCCGCCGGAAGTGAAGGCGAAATTTAATATCTCCCTCCTTCCTCCCCTCCGGATGGCATAGAATGCTTGACTGAGGAAGGTTTTTGGCACCCCCTCAGGGAGGTCTGATGGTACAGGAACTGCTGTGTCACCTCATACATGGGTGTGGGTGGCACACACAACAACAACCTCTCCCTAGTAATTATTAGAAAGAGAAGAGGGAGTGGGCGAAATGTCATCCCATCTTAAAATAAAAACCCTGGCATGAATACTAGCGTAGAGGAGTTGCTCAATGCCTCTCTTCCGTGAAATAATTTTTTTTTAGAGATACACACAGTTACAAAAAAAAAAGGAATCCTGCCGTCAGCCAGTCACCTTTGGAAGACCTCGAGGTTAAAGAACCTTCTGGGAGCCAGTTAATTGGCATGAGACAATTCTTCCCATCAAAGTCTTTTCTCATGATCCCTTTGGTACCGGTACTATTAGAGAGTGCGTGGGGTGTTTCTCTCCATCATGTCTCGCCAGGCGTGGCAAGTGTCAGACAACGTCGACTGAATAGGAAAAAAAATTATTATATGAAAGAAAAACAACTCCTATCCATGTAAAATCTGACCCCAATCAAAAGTTATTCCTATAAGGAGGATTTCGCAGACGAGGTCCTCCTGACAGAACTGGTCAAGACCACACCATGTCATCGTGATATGTGCTGTCAAGAAGCCATATCATGGAGCATGTAGACAAGTATCCTCAGCGATGGTCGCGACACTTGTGAGGCCTCAACTAACTAACATGCATACCCTCCCGGACGCTTCTGCACCCTCAAAGTGAGCCTATGAACTGAACCTCCCGAGAAGGTAACTATGGGCAAACAGACGCGTCTGTGGAAAGACTTCGCGCTAATGCTTTGGAATACCTAGATAACTGGCGGTTCAGTTTCTACCTCCTCGGTCCAAGTGACTGAAAGTGGACTGAACTGAGGTAGTAAGAATGAGTTGAATGGAGTTTTTCTGGCTATAAAGCTCATCTGTAGCACCACTAGCACCATCTAACGGACCGCTTGAAAACTGGCTCCCTCACCTCCTTCTCTCTTTACTCTCCTCTCTCCCTCCCCATTCCTCTCTCAATACAGTATTACGACACAGTGAGGAAACGCCAGTGTGTGTAGTGTCCGTTGGTATGCGAGGAGAGAAAAAGGTATGCAAACGCTTTGGGGAGGCAGAACAGTCATTAATTTAAGTCTCCCCTAAGCCGTGTTTTCTTTCATGCATATGGCAATTAGTCATGTAATGGCACAGCGCCATGCACATCCACATGCACACGCATACATAGCCGCTGTTAATTTTCATTTCCATGCTCATCAATACGAGAAGGGAGAGGGATGCAGCTGTTGCCCTGGACAAACACAACCCAGGACTTCCTGATTTTTCCACAGCCCCCATTATTCACTTGGCCATCATTATCCTGATGGTTCTTCTCTTCCGATGATGGAATCTCGGAGAAGAAGAACAGTTAGCTGCTCGCCTCCCATCATTTATCGACCATGATGGGTCAAGGAAACGTGAACTCCGGCTTCCCCGTCGTGAACTTCATATAAAATACAAGCTTGTAATATAGGAGAATGAGAACATGGCCTGAGGAATAAGAGAAATTCAGGGCACTGACAGTCCCATTTCATGCCAATTTCTGTTCACGAGTAGGAAAGGAAAAAGAAGGAATCGTTCTGGCGATATGCCCATCCAGTGTGTGATTGCTGGGGTCTGACATTTCAATTACGTGAAGCGTGTCGGCCCTTGCCATTTTCCCCAACGAGGAAACCACCATCCCACGTGTGCAAAAAAAAAAACATAAAATAAAAAAGGAATGCCTTCCTGTTTTCATTCAGACCAAGAGGATGCGAACCATCATTATTACAGGACATTTCGATCCGCTTCGTGAACACAATCCCTTTCGAATGGTCTGATATAAGCTTACGATTCGGAAGATACACCACGATAATACCGTAGGCCTATGTAATTCAATCCGACCAGAAGATCCGCATGCGATTGGATTATCTTCTCTCGAGGGATGTATTAGCATCGATTCGACAAACGCCTAGAAGCAACTCGACGAATCCTCATGCAAGGACATAAAGTCGAGGAACTCACCTGACTCCGACGTATCTTGCCTGCCACGAAGCGATTCGCACTGAAGGCTGGAGACCGGAGGCAGGCCGGAGAGGGGCGAGCGAAGGACACGAGTCTGGCGTCGGGTTTGGGCGAGGACTGGAGCGGAGAGGGAGAGTGAGGGCTGAGGTCTATGGCTGCGGCGGAGGCTGCTCCGTTCCCCACCTCCGCTGCACCACTGAGCGCCGCTCTCCGTCCGTCCACTGCACTCTGCTCCCGCGAACCTCGGCGCATTCATCATTTAATTCGAATCCACCTCGCATTTTCCTTTCGGCTGAACAAAGCACACCGTCGTCCTCGTTGTTTCCATTTCTAGGGATCGGTGTAATAAAGGGAGCGAGAGAATTGAAAATCGAAGGCACCCGTGAACATGGCGACACCTACCTCCGCCTCTACGACACATTTCATTAGTTCTCTCTACCCAAACATCGACCATCGATCCGTTTCGAGCGCGTTGTTTCGCTCCTTTTCCCCTCCGAAATCACCGAACCGAAGTCCAAGTCGGTTTGGCATGGAAGTTTTTCTCCTAGGATCTATTCCTGGCTCCTTCCACATCCCATGTTCTAGAATCGATGCAGCAGGGAGAACGAAGGAGGGGAGGATTATCGGGAAAACGGGAGATTATGATTGAAACGCAGGGTTTTTCTTCTCTCCCATATAATATCTATGTATCGCCTGAAGCTGGCAAGTTGCCTCGAGAAATCTGGCACTATAAAGGCATTGATCCCTGTGGCCTAGCTGCATCTTATCTGTCGTCGAGCATCGCACGGGTCACGAACGCGAGCCACAAAGAAAATTCCTTCTTTTTTTTTTTTTTTCCTTTGAGGTCACGATCACGGGCTTACGGAGAGGTTTTGGTCGCTTCATGCCTGACCCCCACTCGCTTCGAATGTGCTGTCTCAGCTCCTTTCATCATATCCACGTTCATTCACGGCCCAGGATGCAATCAAGACGTGTTTGGACCGACCATTCACGATTTTGTCACCGTGGGTGCATTTAATTTCGCGATTATCGCGATCGATTATCCCAGCCCCGCGCTCCCAAAACCACGACTTTCGTTATCGTCGAAACGCCCGAGATTTAATGGAAAAAAAAAAAACCGCCTGCCTCGGCTCCTCGTCGACGTCGCTCCTCGGTTCATCGGGGACGATCGCCGCATCGAGCAGAAAACCTGGATATTGTTCCGAGCCATAAAAGTAGGGGCCATGAGGGAAGGGAAGGGAGAAAAGGTGGGGAGAAGAGAAAGAAGATCGCTCCTTGGTTTTTATGTCTCGGCAATGCCATGGAACAAGAG